ATGAATTACTATTCTAATTCTGACCAATGACGAAGAACACCGATGTAAAGTTAGATCACTAACTAGTTAATTTGCTAGATGCTAAAAAAAGAAGCCAGCTAACTGGACACAATTGAGCCTAATCCAGAGAAAAAAAATTTTCTCGTTCTTCCACTACCTCAGCCTGGGTTAGGTGCTCCCTCCAACATTAGGTTAGCTGAGGTAGGTAAAATAAAAATGGTGGGGTGTCCATGCTCCACCACAAAATCAAATTTTTAAAAATATGCTAACTACTCTTTTATTTACTCTCTTTTGCGGAATAATCTTAGGTCTAACCTTAGCCATTACCACCCTCTATCTAATTAAAATCAACTGTCCAGCTTGTAAGCAATTAAAGCCGCTCAAAGAAATAATACTTTTTCACTGAAAACAAAAAATTATCACCGGTCAAGCTTGCCAGCACTGTCAACGACCGAAACCCCAAATAAACATCGAATTCTAAATATGAATCACGAATTACAAATCAAAACTTTTATCACTGACATTGAATCTAAAAAAGACAAAAACTTTAACCCCTTCTACAAACTCAGCTTGCAAGGCACTTTAGATTGCTTCTATGCTTTCAGTAATAGTCTGCCACAGGAAACTTTAAGCACTTTAACTAACGCCCCCCCACAACTTCATTAATCGCCAAGTTTTAATCACTTACCAAGAACTACCCAACCAAAATAACCCAGGCACTTTTTGTAAAGTTAAACAGATTGAAATCATCTAGACTTTGGGCTCCTCAACTCCCGCCCAAAACTTTTTCTTCTTTTGTTTTATGTTCATAAGGATTAAAGGGAGTTAATAAGGGAGTGTTATTTGTCTTGACTTCCTGCTAAGCACCAGTCAAGAAACAAGGGGGTAACCCCTTCACTTCCACCAATTAAAAACCATGTCCCAAAAACTGCACAAACAAATCAGCAAAAAATTAGAACAATTACAAAAATTACTCACCAAAATTAGCGAAGCCCAAGTCATCAATTCGGATGACCCGGAAACTTGAGATAGCGACACTCTTTATGATTTAGTCGAAAACCTGAAAGAAACTCTCCAATTACTAGAAGACCAAAAAGGCCAACCACTTGCTGACTGCGGCGAACCCCTAATCTTAGCAACTGGCCTTTGCTCTTTAGTGGATAGTTATCACAGCGAAGAAAATGACTAAACCCCGCAAACTCCACCAACTAATTGGCACCATCAACCACTGCTTTTGCGGTCAAGTAACTAATAAAGGTCAATGAAAAGGACAGAATTTTTATTACCTAGAAATTACTTCTGAAAGCCTCTTCATCAAAAAACCCCAAGAAGTAATCTATGCCTTCCCCAACTTAGTCAGTAAAGAAATTTGAACTACTTTAGAAACTGAAACTTATCACAATAAAAATTAATTTCTTTTTCTAACTCTTTGGCTAGCTGTAAAATTTTTTTATCATTTTGATAAGAACTATTAATATTAATACTTACCGGCAAATCCTTTACCAAACCAATTGGTAAACTCAATGAAGGCAAGCCAGAAAAATTGGCCAAAAGTAATAAATTATCACTTCAATGCGAAGATATTAACCCGGCAAATGAATGATTAAAACTAGCAGCAGACGGGGCAGAATTATTAGTGCTCGGGAAAATTAGAAATTCATAATTGCGAAAAATTTTTTTTACTCATCGATCTACTAAATAACGCATTTTTTGGGCTTTGGTAAATAACTCTCTATTTTTTTCTAAAAAATAAGACCCGATTAATAAGCGTTGCTTTACTATCTCTCCTAAATATTTACTTCTTTTTTGAGTAATGCTAATGTTTTCTCTAACTCCATAAGTTACTCCTTGGAGAGAATTAAGATGACTAACTAATTCGCTGGAACAAAGAATAAGATAAGTAATTTGCAAATGTTCCCGTATTTTTTTGGGTATATTTATTTTTTCAACGGTGTATCCTAATTTCTGCAACTTTTCAATAGCATTGTGATATAAATCACTTAGTCCAATTGGCAGATGTTTTTCTATGTCAGTTACAATCGCCACCTTATTTTTTTTGGAAGGAAATATTTTGCCTCGTTGTGCCTCAGTTAGAAGGTCGTGAGGGTCTTTTTGGGAAATAGTAGTAAACAATGAATCGATATCTTTTGTTTTCTGAGCCAAAATACCAACTGTGTCCAAAGAAGAAGCCATGGGAATAACACCAGCCCGCGAAACTAAACCATAAGAAGGTTTAAATCCGACTATCCCACAATAAGAAGCGGGACGGCGAATAGAATCTCCTGTGTCATGACCCAAAGCGAAAGGAACTAAGTCTTTAGTCACTACCCAAGCTGAACCCGACGAAGAACCACCAACTACACAAGAAGGATTATGAGGATTAAAAATTGCTCCGGTGGCCGCGTAAAGTCCAGTGCCACCACAAGCAAACTCATCGAGAACAGATTTTCCTAACAAGACTTTTTTTTCTCTCTCCAATAATTCAACCACAAAAGAATTCTGATTAGGCAGAAAATCATCTAAAAATTTTGAAGAAGCAGTGGTCGGAAAGCTTTTGGTTCAAAAATTATCCTTGACAAAGTATGCTAATTCCTTTTTGTCAAAAGGATTAGTTTTTTCATAATAAGGAACAACGCTAGTATAATATTTTTTCTCCTTGTTGTTTATTTTTCCTTTTAGCATTTATTAATTTCCAATATCTAACCTATAATAATTTTTTATAATTAGACAAGAATAGATATTAGGGGGAGCATTAATTAACTCCCGCCCTAATTTTTTTCAACTTTCTCTTCCTTAACGAAATTGTCGCCACACTTATCACCAAAATAACCAAAGAGATTAAACCTACTCTATAATAAATATTTTGATTATTATCTTTGTTTTGTAATGAACTTTCCTGGTTAGTGGCAAGATTGTTTTCTTTTTTTGTTGTTCCTTCTTGCTTATCCGCCTTTTGAGAAAAATCTTTCCGGTTATTCTCTTTTTCTTCTTTTTTATCGGAGTTTAGAGAATTTTCCTGTTGTGGAGAGTAATTTTGGTGTTGTGATTTTTCTAAAATCCTATTTTTGTCCTTTTCATTTCAAGATTCATGATAACTTTCTTTAAAAAAACCTTTATCAGTAATTTTTTCAACATTATAACTTGCACCATAACCTGTAAATTGATAATGACGAAAAACCTCTTTGGGATTATCACTAAATTTTCTTTCTATTAACTTGTTTTTTTCCTCTTCTATCTCAGGATTTTTAAATTTTATACTGAGGACACATCTTCCTTCGTCGTTTTCACCATGATAAGTGATACCAAAACCAGCCCTCTTCTCAAAAGTTTCTTCTACTTCTTTTTTATTAAGCGCTACATTTTTGTACATAATAATATTAATTATTTTTTCTACATATCAAAGAATAGTTTAATTTGCTACTAGGATCCTCTATCTTAAATTCATACTCTTTTCCGGTTGCATCTACCATTTCGGACATTCGCCGAGCCAAATTCATTGCATTAGGACTATTCATGGCACTCACGGCGCCAGATGAAATAACTATATCGGAAGAAGAACCGCGAGTAGTAATTATATTTGTGGATGAAGATGAACCGACTTTTCTTAATATATTTTCATTGTCAATTGGCCTTCTTCGACCATAACTTCTTGTTCTGCTGCAATCGACTTCTATATAATCTCCTGCTCGATAACTATTAAAAGGATGACGGTTTTCGCAAAAGGTATAATTATTTCCTTGTCCATCGATGTGATCTATGTTTGCTTTGTCAAAACTCAATTTTACGTAATAAAATTCTTCACTCGAAATTGCCTCTACTTCTCTTATTTTAAATGTTTTTCAATTTGTCATAATTATTATTATTTTTATATTAGTTTTTTTCAGAGTTCAGAGCAATGACATTACTCCTTAATATTTATTTTATAAACTTTTTTAATTCAGTCTGTAATTTTTTCTTTTGGTCTTGGTAATAAATTAGTTTTTTTTTCTCCTCGACTACTAATTGCGGAGGTGCTTTTTTCAGAAAGTTACTGTTTGTCAATAATCTTTCACTTCTCTCACATTCTTTTTCATAGAATTTTAATTGTTCTTTTAATTTTTTCTTATCAACTTTCTCACGATATCACAAAATTCCAAAGGGTTGTAAGTCAAGAAAGGAACTAAATTCATCTTTTTTCTCTTTTTCCAAAATAAAAAATTTGCTCCTAGTTAATGGTTCTAAATATTGATTAAAATCAAAAGAAATATTCAACTTGCTTTTCCATTCAGGAACTAATTCTAAATAAAATTCACTAACTTTGCTTTTTTGGCGAAAATTACGAATATTACTTATCAAAAGCAGCAAACAGTCAATTTGTCAAAGTTCATTTTTTCCCGTTTCTCTATTAGTCTTTTCAATTCCCCCATTTAATATTTCTTGTTGGGTGATTTCTTGATAAATATATTCAGTAATAAAAGGAGCAGCCGGGTGGAGCATGATTAATAATTGTTGGTAGACAAAAAGTAGAGATTTTTTAGTATCCTCATTTCAAGGCGAAATTTTGATTAATTCAAGATATTCACTACTTAACTTTTCTCGGGTAAATTTGATAAGTGAGATAGTGGCAAAATTAATTTCTTTCTTTTTCAGGTGATTAAAATAATCTTGTTGTAGAATTGCTAACTCATTTAGAATTCAACTGTTAACTAAACTACTTTTTTCCAGTTTTTTTTTACTAATTTTTGCTAATTCTTCCTTCGGGACTTTGTTTATTATTAAATTAGCAATACTTCATAACTTTTGACAAAACCTTCAACCGCCAATCACCTTGTCTTCATTGTAAATTAAATCTGAACTTCAACTATTATTCTCTAATAAAAAAAGCCGCAAACTATCACAACCATATTTTTCAATCAGGATATCAGGTTCAACGCCATTACCCAGAGATTTTGACATTTTTTTGCCATGCTTGTCCCGAATTAGGCCATGCAATAGCACTTGCTGAAAAGGCACTTGACCAGTAAAATAAGTTCCGAGCAATATCATTTTTAATACCCAAAAAAAAAGGATATCATAACCAGTAACCAGAGTAGTTATTGGATAACAATTAAGCGGAGGTGAAAGAAATTTTTCGCCCTCTTTAGCCTGAACAACAAGCGGTCATAATCCGCTGGAAAATCAAGTATCCAAAACGTCTTTTTCCGGTTCTCATTCTCCTTCTTGGGACGGTGGAGTTGTCCCTACATAAATTTTTCCACTCGATTTATGATATCAGGCAGGTATCCGATGCCCTCACCACAATTGACGAGAAATACATCATTCATGAACTTTATTGCACCATTCTTCCAAAACCTTTCGGAACTGACTAGTTACAAAATCTATCTTAGTGAGAAAATTAGGCTGTTTTTCTTCTACTTTTTTAATTAAAGCAGGTAAATCGAGAAATCACTGTTGAGAAAGAAGAGGTTCAATTGTTGCTCCAGACTTGGAAGAACAAGCTAAATTCGTCTCATAATCTTCAATTTTGACGCAGATGCCTTTCTCTACTAATTTAGCCACAAATTCTTGACGGATGCTACTAATTTCTTGTCCTTGTCAAGGTCCTGCTAATTCATTTAATAAACCTTTTTCATTACAACAACTAATTATTGACAATTGGTATTTTTTCCCTAACTCATAATCAATAAAATCGTGTCCGGGAGTACATTTCAAAACTCCACTACCGAATTCTATTTTAATGCTCTTATCGGTCAAAATTGGAATAATTTTTCCAGTAAAGGGATGAATGATATTCTTGCCTAAGTATTTTTGATAGCGTTGGTCCTGCGGATTAACAAATAAGACAACATCAGCAAAAATTGTTTCCGGACGACTAGTTGCTACCAATAAATAGTCAGTGCTACTTTGGAGAGGATATTTTAGATAATACAATTTGCTAGAAGCAGGACGATGTTCCACCTCAATATCAGAAATTACGCTTTTTAATTTAGGGTCTCAATTTACTAATCTTACTCCTCGATAAATTAGTCCGTCCTGATAAAGTTTGACAAATGCTTCTCGCACTTGCTTCTGAATAATAGGGTCAAGGGTGAAACTAGCTTTCTGATAGTCGATTAATAAACCCAGTTTTTCTCATTGTCGATAAAAAACTTTTCTCGTTTGTGGATATCAATTTTGTAAGGTGTATTCTCTTTTTTGCTCGTCAGTTTTTAAGAAAGGAAGATTTAATTTTTCAATTTTGCTCTGAGTAGAAATTCCAGCGTGGTCAATTCCGGCAATTCACCAAATTGGCTCCTGATTGAGATAAAAAAAGCGAACCAGAAAATCCTGAATAACCGATTCAAAAGCATGACCCAAATGTAAATTACCAGTAATATTAGGAGGAGGCAACAACAAAGCACCAACAAAATTATTAGAATTGCTCTCTAACATTTTTTTTCAGTAATCTACCCTTTTAGTTTTTTCAGTTAAATGAAAATCGTATTTATTAGAAATCATCATTTTATTTATATAAACTTACCGAACAGTGAATGAAAAAATACTTCCTAATGTATTTGTAATTTTTAAAAAGACAATAGAATTATTTGTTTTTCAAAAATCTTTCTCGTTCTTTAAATCCACTACCGACTGGTATCAACTGACCAGCAATTAAATTTTCTTTGCTTCCCCGCAAGTAATCAACTGGCTGATAAAGTGAATAGTTGACTAAACTTTTTAAGGTATTTTGGAAAGAAATGCCGGCCAAGAAAGAATCGGGATAAGAAGCTAAGTCTTTGAGACTGGAAATTACATTTTTAAAGGAAGCAGGTTTTTTTTTGTTAACTACTAGTACTTGGTTAACCTTTTCTAATTGCTGGTAATTTACCATATCACCGGCCAAGTACTCACTATCACCGCCACTCATTATTTCTACTTTGGAGAGCATTTGTCGAGCAAATATTTCAATATGCTTTTCATCAATATCTATTCCCTGATTATCATATACTTTTCGTACCTCCTCTTTAATATAATTTTGACAGATATCTCGTCCCATAATTTCTAAATATTCTTCTAGATCTATTTTTCCACTGGTAATCCTTTCGCCTTTTTTTACTATGTCTCCTTGGTTAAACCTAACTTTCTTTTTCTTACCGAGGGGATAAATAATTTCTTGACCATTGTCGTCCTTCTGCCTGATTATTTTTTCTTCTACGCTTATTATTTCTCCCGAGATTTTCGCCAAAATCGACTTTTCTTGTTTGTCAGGCTTGACATTATCGAATATTTGCTTGACTTTTGGTAAACCCTGGGTAATATCTTCATCACCAATTATCCCCCCACTATGGAAGGTTCGCATAGTCAATTGAGTTCCTGGTTCTCCCAGCGATTGAGCAGCAATTATTCCCACAGCTGTTCCCAAGGCAATTGCCTCGCCAGGTTTACTTAAATCCAAACCATAACATTTCTGGCAAATACCTTCTACCAATTGACAAGTGAGTGGTGAAAAAACTCGCACCGCACTGATCTTATTCTTCCGAATAATTTTTGCTTCTTTTTCTAACAAAAGAGTACCACGAGTTAAAATTATTCCTTCTTTTTTATTAGAAATATCTTGAGCTAAATAACGACCATATATTCTTTTGGCAAGCGGCGTATCATTTTCTTCAGCTAATATGTTACTATCAGTTCCACAGTCAAGAGAAATAATGGAAAGACTTTGGCTTGCTTCCACTAAGCGTCGTGTTAGATAACCAGCTTCAGCTGTCTTCAAAGCAATGTCAATCATTCCTTTAACAGCTCCATAAACCGAAATAAAAAACTCGAAGGGTGATAGTCCCTCCCATAAGGAAGAAGTAATTGGCGTTTCAATAACTTCTCCTAAATAATTAGTAGTGTTACCACGCATAGCGAAAATTTGGGTGAGACTTTCACCACTAGCCCTGGCCCCAGAATCCCAAATGTGATAAAAAGAAGTAGTATGTTTTTTTTCTAAATTAGCTACTAACTGATTTTGCAGGTTTTCTTTGCAATCTTCCCAAACTGCAATTTTTTTTTGTTTTTTTTCGGCTTCATTGTAGAAACCTTGAACAAAATGTTTATCTATTTCAGTAACTTTTTTTTCGGCTTCTTTTAAGGTTTTTTCTTTGACAATAATTTCTCCTAATTCAAAAGGCGAAATACTAATTCCGGAATAAGTAGCATAGTCAAAACCGACTCTTTTCAATTGGTCAAGAAACTCAATCATTTCTGGTCGCGGAGTTATTCTTACCAACTTATTCAGAAAGGTAATAATATCTTTTTTTTTTCACCCACCCAGAGGCTGATATTCTTTTCATTTTTTTTCTATTTTTTCTAGTTCTATCAACTCTTCATTATTTTGACCATCGCTTTCATTGTATTCTTTTAAATTGTTAACATAACAAGGAAAACTAGACGGTAAAATTTGATTGAAAATCATCTTTCCTAAAGTAGTAAAAAGAAATTGGTTTTGAGCATCGGAAAAATTACGACCAACTAGGGTAGCTGGTATAACAACTAACTCGTGCAGACTTATTTTTCCTTTTTGGTGGCTCTTTCAAATATTCGCTATTTCGTCGTGGAAAATGACTTTTTTACCTTTAGTCTCTTTCGTTAAATAATAAAGTCCCAAAATCATATCCTGACTGGGAGTAGTTATCAAATAACCATTTTTGGGGTCAATAATGTGGTGAGGAGAAAGTACACGTTCCTTGATTTCTTCACATGATTTGGCGGTTACCGGTAAGTAAATAGCCATTTGGTCGCCATCAAAATCGGCATTCAAGCCAGTAGTTATTAAGGGATGTAGTTCAATCGAATTACCTAATGTTAATTGAGGATAAAACCCTTGGATACTCAGACGGTGTAAACTGGGAGCTCGGTTAGCTAAAATAGGATGACCTTGGATAATTTTATTAAGAAGAGGAAAAATAATTGGGTCTTCCTGGTAAAGCAATTGTTCGGCTTCTTTCACCGTAAAAGCAATTTTTTCTTTCAATATTTTTTGAATAATGAAAGGTTTATAAAGGGTGAGGGCCATTTTGACTGGCAACCCTATTTGATCAAGTAGCAGGCTAGGATTAGGAACAATTACCGAACGAGCTGAATAATCCACTCTTTTTCCTAACGAATAACGACGAGTTATTCCTTCTTTGCCACTTAAACTTTGTAATAAACTTTTGATTTCATTTTGCTTATAAGTTGAACCATAAATGGTTTGGTCGACCGCTTTTTGCAATCTCCTCTTTTCATTATGAATAATATCACTAAAAAAAATTTCTGAGTTTTTATTTAAATCAAAATAATAATTTAATCTTTGATTGATGAGAATTATCTTGCGATAGAGATTATTGGTTTGGGTAGTAGCAATTGTATCTTCTTCCTTCAATTTGGTTACTGGACGCAAACCACAAGGAATTACTGGTAAATTATTAATAATCATTCATTCCAAATTGATGCCAGTTTTTTGTAGAGCCTGGAGAAATCTTAACTTTTCTTGGTTGACTTTGTTGGGTGATTCCTTGACTGAATTTCTAACTTTTTCTAACTCTTCCTCAATATTTATTCTACTTAGTAACTCTTGGAAGGCTTCGGTGCCGGTTCCAATTTTTATTCCACAATGTTTGGCTAAGAAATCTAAATAATCCTCTAAAAAAAACAGTATCTACTACCTCCCCGCTATTTTTTTCTGTGATTCTTCCGTTTAATTCTTTGGCTTCCTCAATAACATTTTGTTCTAACTTCTTATTTTCAATAATCTCTTGTAAAATACTGCTAATTAGGGGTCGATCGATTCTTTTTTCTAAAATATCGCCATTTCTTAGTAAACTAGTTAAACCATTGTCTAATACTACATAGGCTCGCAAGTAAATAATATCCTCCAATCTTTTAGCAGGAATACCCAATAATTTACTCAAATTAGTTGCCAAAGATTTAAAAAGGGCAATGTTGGTTATCGGTGAAGGCAAGGCAATATGTCCCATTCGTCATCGTTGCAGATTCTTTTCGGCGATTAAAACTTCGCAACGCTCACACTTTTGTCCTTTGTTTTCTTTGCCCTTATATTTACCACAATAGCACTCGTAGTTGAGAAAAGGACCAAAAATCCGAGGGTCAAAAAGTCCACCTAACTCGGGCTTAAAAGTTCTAGTATTTAATACTTTATGACTAGTGATTTCTCCAAAAGAGTGGCGAGTAATATCTTGCGGTGAAAAAACAGTTAGTTTTATGGATTTTATTGAGTTCATATTTGGTTAATTTTTGCTGAAATATTTATAAAAGTCAATTTCATTACCGCTATAATCGCTGGCTTTCAGATCAAAGCCAATTCCCCGTAGGTACTGAATTAAAAGATTGAATGATTCACTCTGACTATTACGAAGGTCAATTTGACGGTTATCAAACAGAAGTGTGTTTTGTAACAACCTCCGTCTATATATGTCGTCTGATTTCGCACTCATCATTTCCATTAAGTTATAAGCGGCACCGTGGGCTTCTAATACCCAAGCTTCCATTTCTCCAACTCGTTGGCCACCACCTTGGGAACGACCCTTGAGTGGCTGTTGATAAATAAGAGAATAAGGACCGACATTTCGAGCGTGAAACTTATCCGCGACCATATGATTTAACTTAATGGTATAGATATAGCCGTTATAAACATCTTGTTGAAAAGGCAAGCCGGTTTGGCCATCAAATAATTTTTGGGCACCGTAATTTTTAATTCCGGCTTCCTCAATTATTTTTTTCATTGTTTCTAGTGTAGGAGAATTGAAGGGGCGAATAAGGAGTTTAGTATCAAGTTTCTGAGCGGCGGAAGCCATAATTGTCTCTAATAACTGGCCAATATTCATGCGGGTAGGAATACCGAGGGGATTAAAAATTATGTCGATGGTTTTCCCCTCCTCATCAAAAGGCATGTCAGCCTCTGGAACAATCTTGGCTACTACCCCTTTATTACCAAAGCGAGTAGTTAATTTGTCTCCGATTTCTATTTTTCGTTCTTGGGCCACAAAAACTTCTACTAATTCCAAATCATTCTTACTTTTACTAAGTTTTTTTCTTTTGACTTGGTAAACTATTCCAGATTCCTCAGCAGGCAAACGAAGCGAAGAGTTAACAAATCTCTGGGCTTTTTCTCCCAAAATACTCATTAGCAACAATTCCTCTTCCGATTCCTTGCGTGGACTAGGTTCGGGCGTTAACTTGCCAACCAAAATATCATTTCCTTTGACCTCGCTACCAATCTTCACTATGCCATTTTTAGCCAGTTGTGGAAATTGGCTTTTCTCAGAATGAGGGAAAGAAGAGGTAAAAACCTCTTGGCCATATTTGGTGTTGTGACGAATAACAGTGTGTTTTTTAACAAAGAAAGAAGTAAGAATATCTTCCCTTACTAATCTTTCATTAAGGATAATGGCATCTTCGTAATTATAACCATTCCAACATAGATAGGCTACTCGTAAGTTATAACCTAGCGATAACTCACCATTATTGCCATAGTTTCCGCAAGCAATCATTTGTCCTTTTTTCCACTTTTTTCTCCTTTTTTTACTAATGGGAAAGAGAAGTTAAGAATATTTTTATTTGAAACTACTAACTGGCCTAATTGATAAGTTTTCTTTTGACTTGTTTCCTTAATAATGATTTGCTGACTATCAACATATTCTACCACTCCTTTTTCCTCGGCTGTGACAACCAACGGCGAATTATTGAGCAGACTGGCTTCGGCCCCACTAGCTACTAATGGCTCTTGACTTTTTAGTAAAGTTACCGCTTGCCGTTGCATATTAGTGGCCATTAGCATGCGGGTAGCGTCATTGTGTTGAAAAAAAGGAATAGTGGCACTGGTAATTGAATTCAAGTGATAAAATGAACTGTCAATATAATCTACTTTTTCTTTCGCTACTCGCAGAAACTCTCCCTGATGACGAACTAATACCGTTTCTTCTAAAATCCGATTTTTTTCATCAATTTTTAGAGAAAAATTAGCAACGTATTTGTCTTGTTCTTCTTCGGTGTTTAAGTAAACTAATTCAGGAATAATTTCGCCATTTCTAACTGGATAATAAGGAACTACTACTTGCCCATAGTCGTTTATTTCTGCTCCGATAGTTAGATTATGAATTAAACCGACCCGCTGTCCTTCTGGAGTTTCAACTAAGTCATAGCGTCCATAATAAGAAGAATTAATATTACGAGCTGCCATGGTAGTATTAGCCGAACTAAATCCTCCTAAGCCCAAAACACTTAATTTGCGAGTATAAGAGATTTCTGATAAAGGATTGTTTTGATTTTGTAATTGAACTAGGGCAGAAGTATTGAAAAAGTGTTTGATCAAATTATCGAAATCTTTTAAATTAGGGATTTTCAGCAAGTCCACTTTCTTCAATTGTGAAATGTAGGCTAAATACTTATTATCAATATCTTGTAAAAATCCACCTAATTTATTGTCAAAGATATTATAAACTAAGTCGCCAACCCGCCGGACAATTTGATTTTCTAATTTGTCCTTATCTTCTTCTTTTTCAATGTTGCCTAGACCATGATGTAAATTAATATAATAAGAAACAGCACAAACTAAATCTGCCAAGTCAAAATAAGTCTTTTCTTCCGGCAATTTTTCGCCAATACCAACCACCGAGATGGTTTTATCTTTATTTTTTGGTGAATTTATTTTAATAACATATAATTCATTGGTAGAATAAGGAATAGTAATACTGTTTATCTTCTTTTTCTGGAGAGCATTCTGTAAGATTAGCAGATTTTTCTCATCTAAAACGGTGTTTTTCTTCAAGAGTAATTTGTCACTACTATCGCGTATGTCTTCGGCTAATGTTTGCTCTTTGAGTTGTTGAATAATGTCGATTTTTTGGTTATATTTTTTTCGCCCTAATTTTCCGAGGTTAAAATAAGAATTACCCTTGCTGCTAGTGAATAAAAATTGCGGTAAACTCACTCCGGCTTCTAACTCTTTGGCTTCCTGATAATTTTCAGTATTTAAGTTTTCCTCGTCAAACAGAGTTCTTAAAAGTTCTGGACCAACTGAAAATGATTTTAAGACATCTAATAAGTCAACTACTAATCCAGAATTAAGAAATTTTAATTCAACAGTCAACGGCTGTTTGACACTATAAGCAATACTAATTCAA